TTTGTACCAGAGATTGAACTTGAGTCCTTGCGCTTGCGCAGCAGGCGACGAAACCACTGAGCTAAATCCCCAGCCCCGTATATACTGTTTTGGGGACTTTCCTTTCTTTTCTCTGTCTCTTTATCTTTCCTCCTCTCTTCTTTCTTCAGTGTTCTCGTTGCCCCCCCCCCCGCCCCCCGGAAAACACTCTTTTCTAAAGGTGTAATTTTTTTGGTCAAAGCCCACATATTATTACCCTTGTTATTAAAGGCTATGGAAGCATTCTACATTTATAAAATGGTAACTGGTTGAAATACATTCTTTGGGGGTTAACATATTATTAAGTTTTTTAGGGTGTAGTGGTGCTGGGGATTGAACCCAGGGCCTTGTGCATGCTAAATACATGCTCTACTGCTAAGTGACAGCCCCAGCCCACCTTTTTTTTTGCAGTATCGGGATTGAACTCAGGACCTCAGGACCTTGCACTTGTGAAGCAGGTGCAGTGGCACTGAGCTAAATCCCCGGCCCCCACCATTTGTTTTTATACTATGGGGGGGATGGTTTCTATAACTGGGAGTGGGAAGGTGAAAAGCTTCCTAATTCTTGGGCCCAGTGCAAGATATAGGTCTTTTAGTGTTTTAGACACATTAATAAATGAGATAATACAGATACAAGAAATCTAAAATACATCACATAATAGGTAACATATAAAATGTGTTTTCATAAATGATAACATTATTGAGTTTATTGTTAAAAATAGAGGGACATTATAGAATAAAGGAAAGATTGCCTAAAATTTTAATGTTTTCTAGAAAACTAATTACAAGTTAGTCTGTTTGTACATTGTTGATATCTTTAAATGTTATTGAGTCATTTTAAAATTAGCTTTTAAAAATTTCTTTTATAGAAAACATCTGAATAACAGTTGATTTACTATTATGTAAAAATGTTTACAATAAAAATGTTATTTGCCTTCATTGCAAGTAATATATTTATATCAGTGTATTCTAGGTCAATGGCTTCTAAGACTCCAGTTGGATTCATTGGACTGGGCAACATGGGGAATCCAATGGCAAAAAATCTCATGAAACATGGCTATCCTCTTATTGTTTATGATGTGTTCCCTGATGCATGCAAAGAGTTTCAAGAGGCAGGCGAACAGGTAAGGCCTTTTCTTAATATTTGCTTTAGATTTTGATATTTAAAAATTCATTAAAAATGACAGATTCTTAGAAGTAAATTTATCCAATGGAGTTGTGAACCTAGTCCATTGTTTCCTTATATCATTGTCTATTTAACATTCATTCAACATCAGATTATACAACAAAGGAGCACTTTCATTAGGTAATTGAGTTAGGGAGTTTATTCTTGAGCAGGTGACCTAGAGCACTTCCCAGGTTTGGTCAGAAGGCTTTGCTTTGCTCTGTTAGTTTACTCAGAGAGTAACTTTGCTGATTACTATATTGTTAAAGCTGTTAGCTTGGTAAAAATAGCCTCCTGTGTAAGTGAAGGCAGGCATGGTTGTCTTAGACTGGAAATATGCTTAGTGATACGAAGCTTACCTTGAGCTCCGATCAGGTACTTACCATCTTAATGGAGACAAGTTATTTCACCTCAGCTCCTTTCCTTATCTGTAAAATGTAGATGATGGTAACTAATGTCATTAGATTGTGAAACATAAATGAGAGAATATATGTGAATGTATTTGCAAATGTTATATGAAAGCACTTTGTGAATATACATTAGTTATTGGCTATAAACTAGGAGTCAGCCTAAAAATACTCTGTACTAAAGAATTAAATTATGGCAGATCTTTTCTGTATTGCTTTTAGGCTACCATTTTTTTTTCTGGTACAGGGATCAAACTTGGGACCTTGTGCTTGCTAGGCAGGTGCGGCACCACTGAGCTACATCCCTGGCCTTAAGCTACCATTTATGTTTCAAGAATTTGGGGACTAGAGTTATTCATACTGAATGATAATTCAACATACTAGTTAAGCCTATGTCTCTTAAGTCTTGTGTTGTTTGGAGTTGTTAAACTTTATTAGTAACTCAGATGATAATAGACCATGTATTAGTATTTAAATTTAGAGTTTTATTTTTTTAGATATGTAGAAAATTTTGTACAAGTTGTAGAGTATTTTTTTTTTTTTTTTTTGGTTTTTTGGTACTGGGGATCAAACTCGGGTCCTTGCACTTGCAAGGCAGGTGGCGGAACCACTGAGCTAAATCCCTGGCCCCTAAAGTTGTAGAGTATTAACTGAGAGTGGAACTTGGCAAATACTACCAACTTCCTGAGAAATAATAGATAATAGAAAAAAGTGAGAGAAAAATAAACTGTCAACTCCTGGGTAATAGACTTGAAAGTATATACAATACTACTGCAATTTGCAATGGCTGGGTAAAGAACAGGTTTAGCTAACTGAGAGGTCATATGAAAAACTAGACATCCTATATCTTCTTCTCTTCTGTGGTTTGTGTGTCATCTGGAAATGATAGTAGTGTTGATTGAGAGTGTGAGTGTGATCTTGGAACTGTTTAGAGTAGTGTTGAACCTGCTTACGTCCATACAGTCTGTAAAAACAGATACTCCCAGTGTGGTGCACATACAGTTGACCTGGAGTAACTTAGGCACTTAGCCTTGTTGGAAAGAGTTATTTTGCTAGAGAATCTAGAAAAGGTGATCTTTTGCCATCTTCAGATATGGTATCCATTTTAAATTGATATTCAGTTTTAGACAAATCAATTAGTAGTTGTTATGAGGAGATGGATAATTACTTTTTGAGCTAATGCATCTGTTTAGCATTGTCACTTTACAGTGGTTTATGTATTTGTTAGTAGGAGTGACAGGGCTATTCAGGCTCTAAACTGAGGTAATGTATTCAATTAAATATAGAATTTAACCAAAGATAGAGATAGGAACTGAGTGAAGACTTTATCTGGACTGGCAAACCAGATGTTTATGTACTTTTAATTATTATTGATGCCATTACATTTCCCTTAATGCCTGTAGCACTTACAGCTTATGTATGGAACAACTAAAATGATCATCACTGGTTTGTGAATCTCTTCTGCTTCTTCTCAGATTTCCAGAGCTGTTTGATGCCCTGCCTGAACTACCTCTTACCTCCATTCCCCAGCAGAATTCTTTTTACTAATTTTAGGTAGGTGTGAGGGAAGGCTACTTTAAGAATAAGGCTTAATCCTATGACCAGGCCCTGGGTTCAACCCTCCCTCCACAAGAATAAAGTTTATCTACATTTTAAAAGGGAGAGAAAAGATGCTAATATTTAGTGAGCACCTACTATGTCTTGTTAAAAATTTTGTGTATGTTTTTGTGTATTTCATTTTATTTTTGCAACAGAAGTATTACCAGGAAACTGACGTATGGGAGAAGTGAAATAATATCCCCAAGGATATACAGTAAGTGAATAGCAAGAGCCAGAATCTAAACACAGGTCTACCATTGACTTCATACCTTTGATTCTTTTTTAATTATATGATGCATAGTCACTAGTAGTGAAATTAATGTGTGAGACATTTTGGAGGTGTGTAGCATCTTCCTTGATGATTCTGAAATGTAGCTACTCATTATCTTCATATCTAGGTTATTGGAAAATAAAATGTCTGATCTTTTTTTGGATCAGTGCTCTCAAGTCACTAATCATGTCTTCACTGTCCCCTTCTCTCTTTAATGTGTGGTTCTATATCCATGGTGTTTGGTGGAATTAAATAATAACAATTTATTATAATGGGTTGTTTAGTATATGGGTTGAATAGTGGCCTCTATAAAGATGTTGTATAAAACTCTTAAAACACAGGAGTACATCTTTATGACTTTGGATTTGTCAAGGGATTCTTAGGTATGACAGGAAGAATGTGAACAAAACAAAAAAGAATGTGAACAACAAAATTAAAAATAAGTAAATTGGCTTTCATCAGAGTTAAAAAATTGTACACCATCGAGAAAGTAAACCCAGCCATGGTAGTGTATTCCTGTAATCCCAGTACCCTGGGAGGCTGAGGCAGGAGGATTGCAATTTTGAGTCCAGTCTGGGAAATTTAGCAAATTAGCAAGACTTTGGCTGAAAATTTAAAAAGGCGGGGAGTGTAGCTCAGTGTGAAGCCCCTTGGTTTAATTCCTAGGACCCCCCCCCAATTGAAAAGACAACAGAGTAGGATAAGATATTTACAAATATACTTGATAAGGAACATATATCTAGACTATATCAAGAAGTTTTACAACAAAATCATAAAAAGATAAGTAATTATATAGGCAAAGGATCTGAACAGACATTTTGGTTTTTTTTTTTGTTTTTTTTTGGTACCAGGGATCGAACTTGAGTCCTTGCACTTGCAGGGCAGGTGGCGGAACCACTGAGCTAAATCCCCAGCCCTGAACAGACGTTTTTTAAGGGAAGTTGTAAATGGTTAATAAACACATGAAAAGATGTTTAACACAAGTCAACAGAAAAATGCAGTCAAAACTATGAGACAGCCACACACTAGGACAGCTAGAATAAAAAAATTAGACAACAAAAAGTGTTCATGAGATGGAGAAATTAGGGCCCTTAAAATATGAAATGGTATAGCCACTTTGGTAGAGAGTCTAAGAGTTCCTCAAATAATTGACCACAGGGTTATGATAAGACCTAGTAATTCTACTTCTAAGTAAATGCCCAAGAGAAGTAAAAAGATGTGTCCACATGGATACCTCTACATAATAGCATGACTCATAATAGCCTAAAAGTGGAAACAACCCAAATACAGTGAACCCTCAAGTTATGACCAGCCTGGCATAACCCATAACTTGGGTTATGACTGGAATTTTAGTTTTAACTTAAGAACAAAGTCTTGAGTTACTGCCTGAATGCTGGCTGCTTGTGCTTCCAGATACAGATTTAACCCTTAAAGGGTTCTGGAAGGAACATTACAAAATTCTTTCCTGTGTGGAGTTAATTGAGAAATCCCAGGCCAATGTCTTTCTAAGGACCCTGAGACCTGCCTGTATATAGGAGAGAGACTTTAAAGGGTGTGTACAGGAGCCTCAGTTTTTAATCAACCAACTTGAGTTACAACCAGCCCTCGAGACCAAATTGAGTTTGTAAGTCAAGGGTCTGCTTATCTGTGAATGAAAGGATAAACAAAATGTGTTATATCTATATAATGGAATATTATTCAATAATTGCAAGGAATGAAATGTTGCTATTTCTTACTGTATAGATGAACCTTGAAAACATGCCAAGTGAAAGAAGTCCGTCAAAAGACTATGTACTGTATAGTTCCACTCTTGAAAGTCTAGAGCAGTGATGACAAACTTTTTAGAGCTTTCAGTGATAACAAACAGCCAGTCTGCTGTGGCTTGTGTTCCACAGGATCAATACCACTGGCCTACAGTCTAGACTAAGGAAATCTATAGTGACAGAAAGTACACTGGCATTGGGGATTTAGCTCAGTGGCTGCATCGCCTGCCTCGCAAGTGCAAGGTCCCAAGTTTGATCCCTGGTACAAAAAAAAAGTACACTAGTTACTTTGTGCTGGGGAGGGGGTGGAGGTGAGGATAGAGGTGTGATGGCTAATGGGTATTGAGTTTCTTTGAAAAGGTTCTAAAATTGACATTGGTGATGGTTGTACATACCTGTGAATATACTAAAACTCATCAAATTATTGTTTAAATAGACTTGTATGATATGTGAATTTTAACTCAGTAAAGCCATTAAAAAGAAGAGGATTAGAAGTGTAGCTCAGTGGTAGAGTACACATGCTTAGCATGCGTGAGGACCTGAGTTCAATCCCTAGCACCACACACACACACACACACACACACACACACAAATACAAATGTCAATGTCCTACCCCCGGAACTGGCAGATGTGACATTTTTGCAAACAGGGTCTTTGAAAATGTAAGTAAGGTAAGGGTCTTGAGATGAGCTCATCCTGGATTTAGAGTAGGCTTTAAATCCAAAGACAGATGTCCTTCCAAGAGACAGAAAAGACAGTGGAAGGCCATGTGAAAATGGAGGCACATATTAGAGTTATGCTACTGTAGGAAGCTGGGGAACTCTAGGAGCCAGCAGAAGCTGGAAGAGGCAAAAATGGACCTTCCCCTAAGCCTAATCTTGATTTCAGACTTCTGGCCTCCAGATCTGTGAGAATAAAT